TTTCTCCATTCCTTGTGCTCCAAATGAAGGAGACTGCCGAGACTGGAAGAGGGTTTACTTCAGTTTGTGCAAAGGAAGGTGGTGTGTTCTCTCTTTTGTGACCAGCATTCAAAGATCACTCAGGCTCATGTGATCTATAAAATAAATTTTAAAAAAGTTTGTTCCAAGTTAAAGTATGTCTTGTTGCTTTTTGTCCCTCTGGAAAACCAGCACTTGCTGCTTTAATGCCGAAAGCCAGACCAAGGGGGTTTGCCTGGCACCATGCTCCTTTGCTGGCTGCAAGGGGAGGCTGTGTTCGTAGTGATGGCAGGGGAGGGCATGCCATGCCACTGGAGAGCTGCTGCTGAGCCTGTGCACAGCTCCGACAGCTTTTACTCTGCCTAAGATTTAGTGCTTGTTGGCAGCAGAGTGGCGATATGACGCTTGCATGGTGTGAGGTATGCTGCATGGGTTGGGGGGAGGGTGTAAAGAGCTTCTATAGCAAATCATTTGGGCCCAACTCTATCAGAGACACTTTGCTGGGGGATGCAGTTTTAGCACAGCACTTGCACTGCCTGCATAAGCTTGTGCTTCCTCTGGCCCTCGCAGCAATTTGCACCTCACCTGTTTCTGTAAATACAGCAGGACTCTCCAGGGCTTGCAGTGGACCTTCTCCTGCCTCCTCGGTTGGTCTTGGAGGTTCACAAAGGTTTTCGCTGCCCTGCACAGCCCTTTCCTAACACGGGTAAGTGTGGGGCTGGGAGCTGGTACCACCAGCTCAAGCGAAGGCCCACCCAGCCCCTCTACTCCTGATGTATTGGGCACTATGGACACCTGCAGGGAGCAGAGGTGCTGCTGGAGGTGTGCTTACCCTTCTGCTCATACCTATGCTCCAGCCCTTGGTTCTGAGCACCCAACACCCCATCCCTTCCCCCTTGTTGTCCATATCTGCTTTTCTGCCTGTCCCCCTCCATCAGTGGATAGTGATGTGCCCAGCATCCCAGCCCCCCCGGAAAACTGCTGAGGGCAGATCTGGGCAATGCACCTTTTCCCTAGGGCAGCTGCCTGCAAGGCTGTGCACGGCACCCCTCACCATGAGCCTGCGTCCAGCCCATCCTGGTTAAACAGACAGCAATGTGACCCTCCCCAAGCTCAAGCCAGTCCAATTTCCCTTTCTGTAGCCTTTTTTTTTTTATGCCCTACGTTAACTTCCTCACACTGAAGACAATTAATTATTTCCTTTCCACTTGTTTTTAACTGCCTGCTGAGTAATTTACAGCCTGTGTTAAGGAAAAGAGCAACACAGCTATCCTTAATTATGCTTTGTGTTAGGCCAAGCCTCATTTGCTGCTCCTTAGGGCCATGATAAGGCAGAGGACAGACTGATGCCCAGGGACAGCTTCAAGGTCAGTGGATGATGGACTGAGCACACAGCTGTGGTCTATCACAGAACTAGACTCAAAAAAGTCAAAGATGCAGTATTTTGATTTTAGGCTTTTACAAGCAGGTCTTGTTTTCATTATTGCTCCAAGCAGCTTTTACATCCCAGAGCCCTGCTCAGTGACGTGGAGCTGATGACAGGCTGTCCCTAGAGTTAGTATCTCAGGCTGGAAAATAAGGATTTAGCATAAGAACACACAGAAGAGCTACAAAAACAGCTGTCTATTTACTAGCTGTACATCATTCCTACTACATTGACCTGCAAAACACTCAAAAAGCTCCCAGCAGTTTTGATATTATTTATTTGTCTTGGTCTTTTTTTTTCTTGCATAGGCATAAATTACAATCTGTTGATTAAAAAAAAATCAAATGAACAAAACAGTGCAGCATTTGCAACAGGCTACAGCATCAAATACAAACTCAACTCCTGCCTGTAACCAATCTGTCTCTGCAGGGCTAATTCATAACACATGTAGGGCAAACCGAGAAGGAGGGAGAATAGAGGGGAGAAATGGAGTAAATAAGGGAAATCTGCTCCAACAGCTGTTTTGCATTTCTCCCGCCTCACCAGGCTCATCTTCTGCATCAGCATTAGGATTAAATAGCCCTGGGCAGAGATGCACCATGCTGAAGCAGCAGCTTTATGTGCCCTCTTTTCCTTTACAGCTTGCAAAAGCGCAGCAGAAATGCAGGGAGCTGCAGCTGGCCGGGCGCTCAGTACAGCTGCTCGCGCTGCAGCCCAGCACCGCTGCAGAATTTGGGGGCTGAAAAAAAAACCAAACACAATCACAAAAACAAACCCACATGTAAGTTCAGTACGCCTGTGGATCCTCCAGCAGTCAGCATGGTGGTCTCCAAAACCAGCAGTACCCTCTAGGGAGGAAGAGCGAAACCCCCAGGGTGACCTCTCACTTGTGCCTCCAGGAGGTTTTGCCCCAGAACGGCAAAGACTTTCATCTCCGAAGGATGGGGCAAGCCCACCCTGTAAAGCCAAATGCTCCCTGCCCCAGAGCCAACACTGACTGCAGCTCCCTTTTCCCACCTCTCATCCGCATGCCTCATTTACCAAGAGATCACCCACGCTGGTGGCCGAGGAGACAGAAGGCAGGTAAGAAAAGGGGGTTTTCCAGCTTCATGGTTATGGCATTTGCTCTGGCAGCCAGAGAGCCCCTGGGGAAGGGGAAAGAGCCTGCCCATCCCAGGACAGGCTTAGGCATTCGTAAAAGCACGACTCCGTGCATGCAGGGCACTCACGGACGTGACTCCGAGGCAAGCGGGCAGCTGTAGACAAGTTTAAAATAGCTTTGGCTGCGGATGCCAAGAATTAAGACTACGCTCAATATAGGAGAGAATTTATCGCCGCTGGATGCGGCTGCGGGTCTGCTTTCCGCCAGCAGCAGGGCCCCCCCCGCTGCAGGGGGCTCCGGGGGTAATTTTAACCTGCTGGCAATGGGGCTGCGCCCTTCGGCCTCCCTTCCCTTGCTTGGAGCAAGGAGACCCCTCCAGAAGGGACGTCCCACCATTGCCCTCGGCTCCTCGGGCCGGCTCGGAGGGGCGCGGGGCTCAGCACCCCTGCCTGATGCACATCAGGGCATGCTGAAGGGAAAAAGAAAACAAACTCTTCAGCCAGCGTCGGACAGGGCTGAAACACTACACGTGAGCCCGTTGGCTTTTCCTTCAGCAAAACACGAGACAAATGCAGAGGTTGGAAACACCATCCAAGACGGTAAGCCAAACAAAGCCTGCTGCAGGCAGCCGGGAGGTGGAAGGGCCAGATGGCCCCGGCCCTCCACAACCCGGGGAAGGTCCCCACGCATCCTCCCTGCCATCCCCCGCCCCGGCTCTCCCCGGCGCGTGGTGGGTACAGGCAGGACTCCCCCTCCTGCTCCGTCACGTCCCTCCGCAGCCGGTGCTGGGGGAACGGAGCCATGCCAGCAAGGAGAAGGCAGGAGGGAAAGGGAGTCCTTCCAAGAGAAAGGAGGCCAGCCCACGCCAGCCATCGGGGACCAGGAGGTGGCAGAGGCAGCCCTGAGCGCCACGGGTGGGGAGGCCCTGCTGCCCCCGAGGCGAAGCAGCCCCTGGGGAAGGAGGTCTCCCCTTCACCTCCCACCCAACAGACCACCAAGGCACAGAGTTGTGCAGGGCCCCGGGACAGCAGCTCCCGCTCGCTGCTGACAGACGCAGCCCCGGCCGCGCGTCGCAGGCTCGGAAGGAGCA